AAGGTAGCCTCATAACTTTTTTTACAATTTTTGTTTGACGTCGACAGGCTCTTCGACGCAAACTAAACCGAACTCGTCACATTTTTTTTAACGTTCCAACAAATTGAAATCTTCTGGTAAACAGGATAATGCCGCCGCGCGGAAGAGGAGGAAACTTTAGAGGCCGTGGTGGTCGTGGCAGAGGACGAGGTGGCCGAGGAGGTAAAGCGACAAGCCGATTTGGACCTAATCGTAGATTCGACGGAACTCGACTTGCAGAAAATGACGCGTATGGCTCTAGATATGATAAATTACTGGGAAATTCACTGACATATGGTAGGTCCGAAAGCTCAGGGTCAGAGTCGGGATCTGCGCCTGAAGATACAGTCATGGAGGACATCGATTCAGAGGACGACGACGATGAACATGCAACATCGTCAAGGCCATACATGGCTCTTCTTCAGAGTTTCAGTAACGAAAACAGTGCCCCAGATGCAAAAAGACGAAAATTGAACCACAGAAATTCCACTCAATCTCAACCTGAAGAAGACTCATCTGGGGAAGATGAAGACACCGAAAAAGATATCGATCATGCTGAGGACGAGGCTGAAGAAGAAGTCGAGGAAAATTTGGAGAGTGAAGAGGATTCGGAAGATGAAGAAAACCCAACGGATCCCTTCGACGTACACTTTGCGCACCCCAACGACGATGCTGTCTCACAGAGAGTCAGGTCTGTACAAAAGAACGACTGGGCAACGAAGCGAGCATTACTGCCAAATATGAGAGCAACTATCTTGCACCCAGGGTCCGATACAGGGTCCGAAATACCAAAACCTATTACTGGCTTGGAAGGCCTACAGCTCAAGCAGAAACTTAGAGAGACTTCCTCTCGCAAGATAGGAGACTTCGATGCCCTTCAGCGCAACTTGGGCCCTTTGATCTTCAATTATAACGATGTACTGTTTTGCGATCGCACAGTACGGAACTCAGACTCATTACGAGAATTGGCATGTCTACATGCTCTCAACCATGTCTTCAAGTGAGTCGATCATTTTTACATTTCATATAAGCCCTAGTCGCTAATCAAGGAAGAACACGAGACCGTGTTATCAAGAACAACTATAAGTTGGCCAAGGAGGGCCAAGATGCCGACCTAGAATTACGAGATCAAGGCTTCACCCGTCCCAAGGTGCTCTTCCTCTTACCAACACGTAACTCGGCTCTTCGGATGGTGAACATGATCCGTGATATCTGTGAGCCAGATCAACAAGAGAACCGCAAGCGATTTGATGATGGCTATGTCGACAAAGAGGCTAAGTTTGGCGCCGATAGACCGGCTGATTTCAAGGATCTTTTTGAGGGAAGCGATGATGACATGTTCCGTCTGGGCATGAAGTTCACTCGCAAGACAATCAAATACTTTGCGCAATTCTACAACTCAGACATACTCTTCGCCAGTCCTCTCGGCCTTCGTATGGCTATCGGCTCTGAGGAAGACAAGAAGCTTGACTTTGACTTTCTGAGCTCTATTGAGATGGTCATTGTTGATCAAGCGGATGCACTTCTTATGCAAAATTGGGAACACGTCGAATTCATCTTTGAACACATGAACCTCCAGCCCAAGGATGCACACGGTTGCGATTTTAGCCGTGTCAGAAGTTGGTATTTGGAAGACTGGGCAAAATATTTCAGACAGACTATCATCATGTCTGCCTTCAACACCCCCGAGCTGTCCGAGCTTCTCCGATCACACTGTCACAACTGGGCTGGAAAAGTCCGGTTGCAGCCCGAGTATCCAGGCATGTTGTCGCAACTCGGTATCAAGGCGAAGCAAACCTTCTCAAGGTTTCAATCTAGCTCCGTCGATAAGGATCCTGATGCGCGATTCGAGTATTTCACTTCTGCTATTGTCCCCTCCCTTGCCAAGCGTGCAAAGGATGCCACTGGAACACTCATTTTTATCCCCTCGTATCTGGACTTTGTCCGAGTGAGAAATTACTTTGCAACGTCAAGTGCAGTCGAAAATGTCACTTTTGGGGCCGTCTCTGAATATGCAGACGTGCCAGAAGCCTCGCGGGCGCGGTCACATTTCCTCAACGGCCGCCATCGCGTTCTGCTCTACACTGAGCGAGCACATCATTTCCGACGATATCAGTTCCGTGGTGTGCAGCGAGTCATATTCTACGGATTACCTGACAACCCCATCTTCTACACTGAAATTGCGGGTGGGTATCTTGGCAAGAGTGAGCAGGACCTCAGACTTGAATCTGGTCAGGGAACTGTCAAGGTTGTGTTTTCAAAGTACGATGTGATGAAGTTGGAACGGATCGTGGGTTCTAAAAGAGTTGGCAAGATGATTCAGGATCGTGGCGATACCTTTGAATTTATTTAAATGCATCTTGTATCAGGGAGCATGTTTGTATGTCGGAAAAGTTATTAAGAGCTAGGGCAGCGTATCAAGTCCGCCTTTTTGAAAGCACCATGGTTAGGCAAAACGACGATCTTGTCATGATTCAATAATTTATACAGCTTTTGTACAGAGCCTCGCGCCTTTCGTAATATGATAAACATGTCGCTCCTATGGCGAGTTCTTCTGTTGCGCCGCCTTTCTCACTGACTCCGGCACGATGCCAGCGGCCATTTCCTTTGCCCGCTCAGCATTCTTGTCTGCCGCCTTCTCGGCCTCGACTTCGGCCAAACTGCTCTCATCCCGTGACGGTCCAGTCTTCTCACCAGTCTTCAAAATCATAAACCTCCGCACCATCTCCTCAAACGGCACCTCGCCGCGGAACTGTGTGACTTTCTTGATGTTGGTTCTGGTAACGGGAGTATGCTCTTGCCCTAGCATTCGGTCGCGGGCAACTGTCTTGGCAGTCATCATAAACCGGGAGTCCTTTGGGCCGTCGACGAATTCAAGTATGGCACTCTCGCCCTGGTCGTATGTGTTCTTGGACTCAGTGCGCACGACACGAGTATAGCCTCCCTCTCGGGTCAAATATCGGCTTCGCAGCTCGCCTAGCAGTTTAGGTAGAGTTGTGGTGGGGGTCTAGCGAAGAATCTTGCTGTTAGCATGGCTTCTCTGAATAAGCCTTTGTGGTATACATACATATAGAATGCCCTGTGCTGATCTCCGAGCAGGCTCGTTGTCCCTCTTCGCCAGTGTGATGAGCTTCTCTGCCATGCGCTGGGCTTCCTTTGCCTTGGCGTAAGTTGTGTGGATATGTTCGAACTGGACGAGTTGAGTAACCAGACCGCGCAGCAGGGCCACACGGGCTGCTGAATTGCGACTCAGATGTCGGTACTTGACTGTACCGCCAGCCATTTTGACGAATCGTTATAGTGGCAACTGACTGGGGAAGGGTATCAAGTCAATGGAAAGGCAGTACTCGAATTATTAAAGCCGTGTTCGATTAGTTCGTCGCTTTGCACGTGGGCAGCTCTAAATCCGTCCAAGATACTAGGTACGGACGGTATCTTTGGTGGTCAGTTTTTGGTGGAGGGAAATTTTTGGCTGGGCCTTTTCCGGAGCCGGCTTGTCTTGTCCGCCGACAGAGCCTTTGCACTACGTCAACCCACCACCAGCAGAACCTCTTCAACAGCTCTCCAAAGGGGAAATCGCACGCGTCACGAGGGCAATTGGGCTCGCGCACGCTATGAAACGCTGTATCTAAGCTTCATTTGACCCTCATTTTCGGATTGGTCGTCTCTGATACATCAAGAACCCGGCAAATTACCGCATCTCGGTCAACTGGGCAAAGCTCTCCATCATGGGCTTCACCACTGGTTTTGTACGCAACTCGATGAGCGAGGCTGAAATAAATATTCTTGCATAAGATTGTATGCTAACTTCGGCTATTAGACCGGCGGCGTCACTCTCACCCTCTCCCTCGCCTACCTCTCCGTGCTTGCTCACCAGCGCACCCGCGAGCAACAAGGCTCTGCCCTTCGCGCACAAGCTCTCGCTATCCAAGGGTTGATCGACCCTCTTCCACCACTACCTCCGCCCACACGGTCTGAAGTCGCCGCTGCTCAGAGGGCTCAAACCGTTGAGATTGCCAAGGATCGATGGAACACCGAAGTTGAAAACGCCGTGCGATGGGTGCAGCACACTGACTGGGTTCAAGTGCGCGAAGGCCTCGAAGATACTGCATCGCGGCTATGGGCCCGAGCCTTTGGTATTAGCACCTCGGAAGCTGCTGGTGAGGCTGAAAGAAAGGTTAAGGAGACTGAGCAGCAGGCCGAGCCCATCGTAAGACAGGGGGCTGCTATGCTTGGTGATGCTAGTGGAAAGGTAGCGGCAGCGGCCAAAAGCGCTTTCCAGAAGGCCAAGGCTGAGAGCAAGGATTTCGCCAGTGTTGTTCTGGACCACAGCAAGGACAAGGAGAATGTCGATATTGCTCAAGAGGACGGTACTCTTTCAGCACTGACTCCCGTGGAGAGGGCCCTTCAGCAACGATTCAGCAAACCTGAGGACAAGGTGAACAAGACAGTGGAAGAGGCGCTGAATGACAGATACAAGCCCATGGAAGCGAGGGATAACACCCAATTGAGAGGAGTCTAAAGGAAAGTCGTTGAACAAAAGGTGGGCTGGTTGACGATGAGTGGGTGAACGGTGTGAATATTTGTTGTACATTGCTATCTGTACCACCATTTCTTAGAGTCGCTCGAATAGAAACCAAGCTTGGAAATGCTTGGTATGATAAACAGAGTTGTTGTGTCAAGTGAGTAATGTGATAAGAGCTACTGATCACCTCTCAATGCGAACTACCTATATACAGACCCCTTATTTACAAACAACTCCTTTTTCTATGCGGTTAATTGCGGCTTTCCTCCACATACATCGATAGTCATATGCCAACACTGGACTTATTAACGAAGGATCAATGGCTGGCGATAACTCCAAGGGAGGGGCAAGCAATGGCAAAAGCCATTGCAGTAAACGCCAGCAGAGCAACAGTCATGCCAAGGGCCACCACAGCAAAAATCATCATGATAAGAGCGATAGGCCAGAGACAGGCACCATGGCTACTGAGGACTTGTACGGCATGGAGTCCGGGGCTACGAAAAAGAAGAAGAACAAGCGCCGCCATCGTCGTCCCAAGCCTAATCCGAGAATCCCAACTGACCTCCTTGCCCTTTTGTGCTGGGATTCTTGGCTCCCGTGGCCGATTGATTCCAAGAAAACCCACATTGACAAGACATCGCGCAAGCACAAGAGGTCTAGGAAGAAAACATCCCACTCAGGCACCTCACATCGTGTGCAATCTTGGGTTCGGGAGGTGTCTGCTCAAGTGACGCCCTCCGCGCCCCCGATACCTCCAACTATGCCATCTCCAGCACCATCAACTCCCCTTTTACATCCAGTTTCAACATCCTCCGGGCCTCAGCAAGGAACCCAGGCTGAAGAGGCTGCTTCGAATAACGGTAAGAATGTGGATAGAGGTGCACTCACATCATGTAATGCTAACCTTGGTGAAAAGGGCGAACCAAAGATAACAGTTCACGCAACTGATCAGTATATGCAATGGGACAGCAGCGAGACCTTTGGTCGACGAAGATCCGAGACACAAGCGGGTGGTTGAGTGTTGGAGACATAGACGAAAAGAATAGCAACGCCTGGACAGTGAAGAGCATCAGAGACTTATGCGAACAAGAAAAAAGCAACCAATATGGACATTTGGCATCGATAAGAATGCCGGCGGATAGACGGCCCCCTTCTCTTTCTGGGACAGAAAGTGAGTGTGTATGCACAGGTGAAAGGAGACTAGGTGGGTGTTCTTGATGTGACGAAATGGGACCTCGCAGTGTCTTCTGATGTCCAATATGAGATGGATGTGACGAACTTCCGAGAAAAGGCAGGACCTTGCAGCTGGTCCCTTTGATGACTGGAGATATACTGGACATTGCTGGCCAGGGAAAAGGTTCATCCACAGCTTTGCTCGTTGATGCCTGAGGTAAGCGGCTGCAACAAACCTACCTACCTAGGTAGGTAGGTAGGTACCTTCTAAGAAGAGGTAAGGTACCTAGGCACCTTCATTCTCACACATTTCTTTTTGTGCTTCATCCATTACTCACCAACAACATGCTTTTCGGTACACAGAGAACCGACCTTGGTGTGCTGTTGAATCGTCCACGCCCCAACAAATGGCAACAGTTCTGGTCTAAGCCGTGCATATTTCTTACACATTTCTTATACAGTCTCCGTCGCATTACCCACGAGCCTCCCGCAAATCCCATCTCTATTGTGTGCATATCAGACACGCACAATTATCAACCTCATTTGCCCCTTGGAGATGTACTCATTCACGCCGGAGATCTTACACAGTCGGGGTCGCTCGGAGAGCTAAAAGCTACTGTTGCCTGGCTCAAATCTCAACCACACACACACAAGATCATCGTGGCAGGAAACCACGACATACTGCTCGATAAAGGCTGTGATCGTCGGGAGGAATCAGCAGCTGAAAGCGAGTGTCTAGATTGGGGAGATTGTATTTATCTTCAGAACGAGACTACAACTGTCACCTGCAGAAATGGCCGAACCCTAAAGATATATGGAAGCCCTCTATCACCTCGCAACGGAAACTGGTCATTTCAATATTCACGGAGCCAAAATGTTTGGTCAGATACTGCTCCAAACGATATTGACGTTCTCGTCACTCACGGCCCTCCTTTCGCTCATCTCGATCTAAATCTCGGATGTCATTATCTTCTCAAAGAGTTATGGCGCATCCGTCCTCTGCTCCATGTTTTCGGGCATGTACATGAAGGGTATGGACAGGAATCTGTGGTTTTTGATAGATTGCAAAAGACGTACGAGAAGGCTTTATGTGATGGCACCTTCTGGAGTTTAATGAAGGTATTCAAGGAGTTTTTGAGGTTGCTCCCAATGAGGAAGAAGCCGGCAATGACTACCTGTCAACTTGTGAACCCAGCAATGGTCGGTGGACTTAGGGATGATGAGAAGAGAAAGGCAATCAAAGTCATTATTTAATTATCTTGTCGAAGTGACACTAAGAGAGCACTTGAGTATATTGGGTTCAGCTACAAAGGCCGCATAGCGCTCAGCAACAATTATATTCATAGCCACAAACTCAGTGCTTCGGAATCTGTCCTCTGGCGTCTCACCAGAAGAGATTGAGATAGGTGATTTGCTCAGTCAGACGATGTACAGCCTTGGCCCAGGATGGTTGAAGTTCACGAACTACTTCACGGGCATGCAGTTCCGCCTCGGCTTCTTCGCCGACGATGATTGCAGGACAACACCGCCGTGGTAAGCCTCTTTCGATGAGTCGGTCGAAGAAGTACTCCATCTCAGAGTGAAGACCGGCGGTATATCCAACGACAAGGTACTTATACATTCGGTACAGGGATGTAGTAGGATTCTTCTCCTTGGTAGGAGCTGGTTTTTCCTGGCGCTCATGTCGTTGATCAAGCAACCAAGTAAATTTAGGGACATCGTGCATTTGGCCAAAGAAGGAGAGGCAGTTGAGGTTTGGGTAGACAGCACGGATTGCCGCAAGACAAGGCATGTTGGACACTTCTAGGGAACGGTCAGATTCTTTCTTGTTTGTGTTAAGTATCCCGTTACAAGTCTCAACAGCCGTTACTGAAAACACCCCAAAATTAATAATCTAGGCTTAATACGCTCAATTTTTGCCCAAATGGGATGTCAAGATGGACGAAGTTTCAGGCTATTAACGATTTACATGCAAAGTCCTTTAGGATTGAGGCTCCTATTACCCGATGCTTTGCAAGTTGAGAAAGCTAACAATCATGATATTGACCCAGTGAGGCTTTGCCTCATGAGGGGCAATGAATGTTTAAATCATACTAGACATTTGGGATGCCTAGATATATCTTTCGAGGATATCTAATAAACGTAAAAAAAGAGATTATAAAACGCAGGTAAGAACATCAAGAGGCATTAATCATCATGAGAAAGCAGTCTGTCTGTGATTCCACGATCCGAGGAAATGCCAAACATCGGATCACGCGATAAGGAGCTCGCTCAGTAATATGGCTGGGGGAGGAAAGAAAACTCAGGACCTTCACCTTATGTGACAAAAGACATTTAGGCAAATTAGCCTAAGTTTATGGGACTCTTTACTAAGTTTATTTTAGCATCCTCTCATTACGTCCAAACTTTTCTTGCTCCCGAATGGTGCTATGGCATGTCTTTGCGGTGACATCTCCGGAAAACCCCACTTGTTCCGGCCTACTGGCAACGGCCTGAAAGATAGAGCGTCAAGGGCGGGGCGGGGCGGGGCCGTTGTTGGCTTGCGGGGTTGGGCGCTCGGCTGGCAGTTTTCCACGGCTTCTTCAATGAGGTAGCCAATGGATTGATCCAATGGATTTTTGGAACACTTCAGACGAGTTCCGGGACATATAATTCAGAGATTCATCAAACTCGAGACTAGGGTCTGTCGGCAACTGATTGAGTTGTCCTACCCGTCAGGACGGGCCCTCCGGATTTACCGTTGTAAGAAGAAGAAGAAAAAATCCCCAAACAGAAGGATTCCGAGGTTCTTTTCAGGGTCTCTCTGCTGGTTCGATGGCAGTGAAGCGAGGTCGGCAGTCGCCGGCGCAGCTCAGCTAAGACAGTTGAGGAAATTTTCCAGTGGCAAGCGATTACGATTGGGCGATTAAATGGAGTCGGTGGGTGGTTGATTCCTCTGATTGGATGGGCCACAGACTTTCCGAACTTGACCGATCACGCCGCGTGCACATGCGCAAGACGGAAATCGCTGACGGGCTCAGTTATACCTACGCTCTCATTGGCAATTGCTGTTCTATCTAAGATTCTGGTCCCCGGCGCTCAACCTTTATCATCTCTTCCCTCCCCAACGGTCAACTTACCTTTTGTCTTACTCTCCTCCTTCAAATCCTCTCGATACCCCTTGTCTTGCTGTTCGTGATTTGCGTTGTTTCATCTCCCAATTGTCAACCTTCCGACCTGTTCCGCCCATCACAATAGACCCCAGTTGACCGTCCGTTGAATTTTTGGCCACCTTGCGCCCGAGGCCCGCCATCTGTTTCGCCCTGAAACTTTCGCTCTTCATCCTTTCAAGACCAACCATCGTCTCTCCAAATCACCATCAATCGTAATCGACATCATGTCGTTCTCCAGCCTTGTTCAGGACTTGAGCCTTCGCGACTCCAATGGCGCTCGCCGCCCTCAGATCCCCGGTCCCCGCTCATCCGTCTCGACTCTCGATGACCGAGCTTCACACGTCTCGCGTGCTATGTCCTACACCAGCACTGCTGCCACCAGCGTTAGCATTTCCGGCGACATTTCAAGCCAACTTCATGGTGGTTACTTCCACCCTCTGGCCCGTTCATGGCAGGCCGAGCGCCAACTCACAAAGGTATGTAGCGTAATTGAGACCTTAGTGACTAAGGCCGAGGTGTCTAACAGGATGTATACAGTCCATGCTCATCTACCCTCTGTTCGTCACCGATGGCGAAGGCGACATGATTCTCGTCCCTTCTCTACCCGGCCAGCACCAGCTCAGCTGTGACAAGCTGATTCCCTTCCTCGAGCCTCTCGTTCATAAGGGCCTCCGCTCTGTTATTCTCTTTGGTGTTCCCATGCAAACCGGCACAAAGGACGCTCTAGGTACCGCCGCCGACGACCCTGAGGGACCTGTCATCAAGGCCATTCAAATCATTCGCCGCCGTTTCCCACAGCTCTTCATCTGCTGTGATGTCTGTCTTTGCGAGTACACTTCTCATGGTCATTGCGGTATTCTCCGTGATGATGGCAGTCTGAACAACCAGTTGTCTGTCGACCGTATCTCTGATGTCGCCATCGCTTATGCCAAGGCTGGCGCTCACTGCGTAGCTCCTTCAGATATGAACGACGGCCGCATTCGCGCCATCAAGCTTAAACTGATTGAGGAGGGAATTGCCCACAAGACCGTTCTTATGTCGTACTCTGCCAAGTTCTCAGGCTGCTTGTATGGCCCATTCCGAGATGCCGCCGGCTCAGCACCTTCATTTGGTGACCGCAAGTGCTACCAGCTTCCTCCCGGTGGTCGTGGCCTCGCACGACGTGCCATCGTGCGAGATATCAATGAGGGAGCCGATATTATTATGGTGAAGCCTGCTAGTCAGTATCTGGACATTATCAGTGATGCCAAGGACCTGGGTAAAGATCTTCCCGTGGCAGCATACCAGGTTAGTGGCGAGTATGCTATGATACATGCCGGGGCCAAGGCTGGAGTCTTCGATCTCAAGGCAATGGCTTTCGAGTCAACAGAAGGCATTCTTCGAGCTGGTGCTACTATTGTGGTCAGCTACTTCACGCCTGACTTCCTCGACTGGCTCGAAAACTAAGGATTACAAATTACACGTGATACAACGAGATTTATTTCAAGGCGTTGGCGGGTGTTTGGGACGAAAAATATGGGCATTTTGTAAATGAAGAAAGGGAACAAGGGATTTGATTATATTATATCAAAAAGAACTATACGAATGGAATCAAGAATCACTCGCTAATGAAAGACATATATACATACGAACCCGAATTGATTTGCTGTCACTGGTGCTTGTTATACATGACACCGATAATCCCAGTAACTTG